CATGTCTCCCTTAGTCCTTCTTTTCATTAAACTAGACATACCCAGTTCCTGCAACGGTTCTTCATATGTTTTACTCTCCAGTCCACTAATCATCTTTGTTGCTCTTCTCTGCACTCTTTCTAGAGTCTCCACATCTTTTCTACATCATGGTGACCAAAACTGAATGCAGTATTTCAAGTGTGGCCTTACCAAGGAATTGTAAAGTTGTATTAACACTTCACGGGATCTTGATTCTATCCCTGTTTATACAGCCTAGAAGCGTGTTGGCTTTTTTGGCAGCTGCTGCACACGGCTGGCTCATATTAAATGGTTGTCTACTAGGACTCCAAGATCCCTCTCACAGTTACTACCATTGAGCAAGGTAACACCACTGCATTGTGGGTGTATGCACACTTTTCGGCATGTGACAACAAAAAGGTTAGCCATCACTGGTCTATTTTAAGGCATTTAAAACCCTAGCTTCTGTAATAGAGACATGCAGGCTTCTCCATGCAGAAGATTTCTAAACAAGAAGTAAGCAAAACAATTTGTATTCCTCCAAATATCTGAATTACAGACTCCCTTCATTGTCACCTGGTCAAAGACTGTGGAATGTTATTAATTGAATTGTGTAATTACTGGTACAGGCAGTTCTCCACTTACGGTCATAACTGAGCCCAGAATTTCTGTTGTTAGACGGGACAGTTGTTAAATAAATTTTGCCCCATTTAACAATCTTTCTTGCCACGGTTGTTAAGTGAATCAGTGAGTTGTTAAGTTAGTAACAGGGTTGTTAATTGAATCTGACTTCCCCACTGACTTTGAGTGTTAGAAGGTTGCAAAAAGTGATGACATGACCAGGGGACTGTGCAACCGTCATAAATACGAGTCACTTGCCAAGCACCTGAATTTTGAACATGTGACCATGGGGATGCCGAAGTAAATTGTGAAAGGAAACCTAACATAGCCCAAATATTCCCTTTATAGTCAGGTTTTTACCTCATTTTGGAAGCACAGAGGGGCCACCACCGAGAAGATCCTGTTAGCCTAATTCTGTTCTGAATGTACAAAACCTTTAAATTTTCAGCAGCAAAGTTTATGAGTTCCTGGCTAATTTGAAACTTATAATGGCCATTTATGTGGACAGGTTTCATGCTTGCTGAAGCTGTGGAATATTTCACTGGAATTTTAGAATTCAAATACATGTATAGTGGAAGATCAGCAAAGGAGCTAGCGTGCTATATAAGAAAAAGATTATGCTGAAAAACAATAGTTGCTCAATTGTGCTGAATAATTTTAGTTTCTGTTACCATAGCTATTGTGCTTGGAAAAGGGCTGTGGAATTTGAGGTGGCCGATTTATCTTGTAGTGATTACCTCTTGTATAAAGGAATGAGTCACCTGTATTACTCATCTTAATAGTTTTAAGAGTGCTCAATGTTTGAGTTTCTACAGGGCAAGAATTCAAATTCTAAAAATAAAACTGGCCCAAATACCTGGAGAAACACCTAGTCAAATGCCTTAATTTGATATTCCCGTGTTACAGATGAGGAACACTGAGGCTGAGAAACAAGTAGAACAAAGAAGAGAAATATATAGATATAGATATAGATATTTATTTATTTCCTTTTTCAGGAAATGGATTCCCCTTGGCAAAGTCCTGCTTAAACATACAGAGAATCCCCCACTTCACATTCAGACACTCTCCAATATTCATCTGAGACCTAGGATGCAAACTTGTGGTATATAAATCTACTTCCCATTTTACCCTTCAGGGAAATGTTATCTATTGCTAACTGCTCCAAGTACTGTATTGTCTATGTTGGCAAAGGAAGGATGTTGGGATGAAGAAATGGGACAATTCAGATTTTCCCACCCCTCATTAACTAAAAGCAAACCTCTTTTTGACTTCTTCCCATCCTCTTTCTGAAAAGGCTTTCTTATCAAGTTCTTATCACAATAGCAAATTAAATTGAATTGAATAGACATTGGGATTGATTGATTCAGGAGGCAAAACTGCTTACAAAGCTGATAAAAAACTTTTTTAAAAAAAGCTGGCAACCTTTTATCTGAGCAGCAAAAATATAAATATTGGATTGAGAACCAAACCCTTTTTTTCAAGACTGACCAACTTGCCACATCACTTTATCCCACCTTTAACTATTCTACATCACAAATTCTTTCCATGAGAATTCTGGTAAATGAAATAATTCTCTCCAAGCTTGCTACCCACCCTTCCCCCCCTCCCAGTTCCTTTGAAAACTGAATTATCCCCCACCAGGGCGTATAATTCCATATCTAAAATATTTATTAGCAGTGCACATGTCTTCATGCTTTCCAGCATGTAGTTCTTAAAAAGTCTCTCCCACCCAAGCGTCCTTCATCCTTGAGCCCGGCTGTCTTTTGTGTGTGTGGATTCTTCATCAGCTGCTGGTTGAGGTTCGTTTCTCACTCGGTTGACCGCGATGGGCACCGTCCTCATGGCCGATTCCGTCACAGGACCTTCGATGCGGAGCTGCCCGTCGCTGGAGATGGAGCAACTGAGCCGATCTCGGTCCACGCTCTGAGGCACGTCCCACGCCCTCCGGAAGACCTCGTAGCGGAACGGCCCATTGGGCATCTCGCTGGCCTTCCTTCCCGTCAGGACCACTTTCTCCCCTACCAGCTTGACCACCAGTTCCTGGGGGTCAAATCCAGTCATGTCTTGAGTCACTGCAAAGGTGTCATTGGCGCTGGGTGTCTCCAAGCTGTGGATGGTTTCGCGACTGACCATGCTGCTCGCCGTAGGCCGCCAGTTGCTGGTCAGAAGCTCCCACATAGAGTCCATCTCACGCTCCAGCTCTTCAAAGAGCGAACTGGTCCGGGGCCATAAACCTCGGCTTCGCAGGGGTATTTGAGGGCCTGCAAGGTGTAGTCTGCACAGCATCTTGGTCTCTCTTCTGAATGATCTGAGCCCGGTGTGTCTTTGTATGTAGACAGCTGCTGTATGCTCTGCCTCCGGGATTCGGCTCCCTTTTATTCTCACCTCGCTGGAATATTTTTGATGTGATGCTTCCTGCAGTAAAGAATTTAACTCATCCCTTGGGCATTTCATGACAATTACTCAGCTGTCTAAACTGGTACCATGAGACAACCTAACCCCGATTTTCAGCGCCGGCCTCATTTCTTTGGCCTGTGCCGGGTTTATAATTAGGATAACTTTCGCTCTCACTCTGTCCAAAATAGAATCTGGAGTAATGCATACTAAGCAGAGAACAGCTGCTGCCAGTAAACACCCAGGGAACGATGCTTAAGAACCGAGGCCTTGATACACTAATCTGGTTTTCCTCAGACTTAACGTTTTCCTTTAGGCATAGATTAGAGACTGGTACGGTATCAGAAAAGAAGAAGAAATGACTAGCTAACAAACATCATTTCAGGGGCTCCGAATTAAATATTAGCAGAATCTTAGGACTGTGATAGTTCATGCAGTCCTCGACTTGCAACCACAATTGTGGCCAAAATTTATGTGGCTAAGCGAGGTATTTGTTCAGTGAGTTTTGGCCCATTTTGCAATCTTTCTTGCCGCTTTTGTTAAGTGAGTCACTGCAGTTGTTAAGTTAGTAACAGTGGTGGGTTTCTATTATTTTTACTACCGGTTTGCTCGTGGACGCGCGCTCGTGCGCAGAAGCGTCTAGGCAGGTGGGCGGAGCCTCTTGCCACCGCTACTACTAGCTTGCCCGATCTGGGCCAAATCGGCAGCAATCCACCTCTGGTTAGCAACACAATTGGTAAGTAAATCTCGCTTCCCCATGGACTTTGCTTGTCAGAAGGTCACAAAAGAGGATCACATGACTCCCCCCTCCCAAAGAGGCTGCAACTGTCATAAATATGAGCAAGTTACCAAGGTATCCAAATTTTGATCAGGTGACCATGGGGATGCTGCATTGGTCATAAGTGTGAAAAACGGTCATATGTAACTTTTTTCAGTGCCGTTGTAACTTTGAGTAGTCCCTAAACCAGCGATGGCAAACCTTTTTTGGCTCGCGTGCCATAAGCGGGGGGAGCGCAGGGTGGTGGTGCGTGGGGGTGCCACACCCATAATGCAATGCACAACCTCCCAGCGCGCATGCACGCATGACAGGCACGACCCCCCATTTTTGGCATGCTTTTTTCGCCCTCCCCAGGCTCCGGAGGCTTTATAGGAGCCAGGGGAGGGTGAAATCAGCCTCCGCCGCCTCCCCCTCCCGGAGGACCTCCAAAAGGTTCAGGGAAGCTCTGGAAGTTTGGGAACAGATTTCCGGTTTGCTGATAGGGCCGGTTTAAGCCCTCCGGAGCCTTCAGTTCAGTTCAGGGCCATTTCTTGTCCTCCGATGACATGGCAGCATGTCATCTCCTGGATTGATTTTGAAAAAGGTAAGCAATTTCAGGCCTGGTAAATATTTGTACGGGAGATCACTGAACCAGGACATTGAGACAACATCCGAAAAGACAACAATAACTATCTGGCTTTATACTGTTGACAAGAAAATTACAGGAACGGAATTAAACGTGATTGAAGGATGGAGTTTTCCTTTAACCGGAGAAGTGGAAATGCTCAGTGGTTGTTTCCCCATTATCCCTCCCCCAATTCAGCCCTCAATAAGCATCTCCCCCTATATTTTAAGATTTCTTCCCTCCTTTGTCACCTAAAAGATATTGGAAGACTCCAGTTCTCAGCTGTAAATCTTCCAGAAGGTTCAGATTGTTAAAAAAAAAATTGGGTTAGTAGAATTACAAACGCATCTCTCGTCTCATCAACAACCTAATTAGAGGATGTGCAGTTGGTCCGCAGATATTCACTGACATCATAGGAGAGATTCAGTATGAAACATGAATGGAACGCATAGCATTGAAATACACACATCCCAATGTCACCGTCGTGTTTCTGGAATATTTTTAAGCAGCTTTATTTATCTTGCAGGATGTAGGACAGGACTGCCAGTCCCCCCCCCTAGCACACTTGAAATAGGAGGCTGACGCCAACCCCATGACAGAGTTCCATCCACATGCAAAGGAAGAAATGTCACCGAGATGTTTCTGCAACAGCTGTCACACCCTCTCCTTGTGTTAGTTACGGAAGCCCCAAGAAGGAGCTAGCAAGGACAGTCACAGTCTGGAAAGGGCGTCCCTTCCTGGCAGGAACCGGGGAGAATCGAAACCAGTTGCAGCAAAGTGGCTGTTGATCAACCCATCCATCACAAAGCACCGTTTTTTTNTGAGCTACCAACCAGCCCCAAAGGCTGTGAATCTCACCAAAGATTAACCACATAATAATAATGACATTAATAGTGGATAATAACATCCCTGATAAGAAAATACAAACTGTTAGAGTCACTCCCTAGTTTACGTGGGTGAAAAGCCAATAAGTGTGTGAGTAAATATACTGTTCCAGAAATTGTTAAAGATATCTTCAAAAAATTGGTACAAACTGACAGCTATAATTCTGTACCCAATTTTTTTTTTCTCGTGGACATTGCAGCAACACAGAATTTTGCCACACTGCATGTGTGGTAGATGAGTTTGAGTCCTGGAGGAGAAAGCCTACATAAAAATTGTCTGCCCTCCCTGACAATCTCTCTAGTAAGGGGAGAATATAGGCTGACCTATAAACTCTGTATAACTCACAGTATAGCACCCCTTGTAAATGATTTTTCCTGAGAAAGCATAAACGCTGCAACTCAGCAGTTTGGAGCATATAGGATGATAGGACTCAGCTGCTGGCTGCAGGGTGCACCATCCCTAAATGAAGAGCATGACAACTCCGGCACCCGTGTGTCTCTCACCCATTGGCTGCAGACGTCACTGGAGCAAGGAGATTTGAAGCCAAGTGTATAAAAAGAGGCTGAGCATCGCAGAGAGATAGCCAAAATGGGCTGTGGAGCCGCCTGATGACTCAAAAGGGATGGCTGGGAGCGATTTGTAATTTTTGAAGAGGAAACAAAAATGGCCTTTCAGAACCACCCCGCGCGATCCATCAGCAGCTCTCCCAGAGAGCCACAGTCTGGGGACTATTTCAGGTATATGGTGACTCCAGACCGTATCCCTGAATTCATCATCCCTTCCTTGGGTCTTCTGGAAGAGCATCGGCGCTTGGGCAAGGCGAAGGCTTTGGCACAGGGGATGCCCCAAGAGCTGGAGGCGCCGAGGGACAACGTCAACATCAAGGTCTGTCGCTGCTTCCCACCGGGGTCCTTTCTGACCTGCTACTCCAGAGTCGAGGTGGATCTGGGGCTGAACGATATACCTGCCGATTCTGTCACCCGAGCTGCGTTGTCTCTGCCCCATTTGCCAAAGATCGTCACCCCCTACGGCTTTGTGTCACTGGGGCAAAGCCCTCAGGTGACCAAGGAAGAGGCCCTTTTCTTCCAGTTTGGTTTGGCTTCCAAGCCAAAGAGAGATTTGGATCCACCAGGAGGACACCGACTCCACAGGGATGTTGACAATGTGCAGGCAGGTTGTAGACACATCAGCCTGAGGGACCACAGTGCTCAGGGGGTTAGCCAAGCTCACCTGTCGGAAAGCAGTTGTAGCTCAATAAAGAACAGGTACGGACTGAAGCTTTCAGATCCCGGGGAAGGACAGGATACGGATGTGTTTTCCAAACCGTCGGCCTTCTTAGCAACAACTTGCTCCAGTCTGGATTGTCCCAGCCTGTCTTTGCAGAAACCCCCCCAAACTCTATTCCAAAAGATCCTGAAGAAACACTGTGCTCATCTGGGGAATCTCAAAGTGGTGAAAATGTCTTCTTGGTATCCAGCAACAGGAGCTACTTACCATCCTAAGGACTCCAAAATGTGGGATATGATGTCTAAAGAATAGCCGAATGTTTCAGAAGTCCTAAGTTGGATGTAACTTTTCAAAATGTGAATGTTTGTTGTGCTCAGTAAAATTTATCTTCTCTTTCTCTCTCTCTTTCTCTCTGGCAGTCTCAAAAATAGCTTTGCAGGTGTAAATAGGTCGGCTTGAGGCAGAGGAACAACCAGGTGGGACACTTGCAATCTGAAATTAAATAATGAAATTCCCTCCTTCCCTTCCTCCTTCCCTTCCCTTTTCTATTCTTCTTTCATTCCTTCCTTCCTTCCTCCCACCCTACCCTACCTTACCCTACTCTTNGTAAAATGTGGTGAAACTCACTTAACAACGCTCTTGCTTAGCAACCAAAATGTTGGCTCAGGAACTCTGGCATTTGAAGCACGCAAGTCTTAAAACTGTCAAGTTACAAGGCCCTTGCACCCCTCACCCTTTAGAAAAAAAACTCCCAGGGGTGTTCAAACTTGATAGCTTTAAGACTTGTGGACTTCAACTCCCAGAATTCCTCCTCTTAGCCACTGAGCTTGTTGATCAGAAAAGGTCAACAGTTCAGTGGTTTAAATTCCTAGCACCACGTAACGGAGTGAGCTTCCGTTACTTGTCCCAGCTTCTGCCAACCTAGCAGTTTGAAAGCACATAAAAAATGCAAGTATAAACCACCAAGACATCTTCAGACAGCGCTGGCTCTTCGGCTTTGAAACGAAGATGAGCACCGCCCCCGAGAGTCGGGAACGACTAACACATATCTGCAAGGGAAATCTTTACCTTTACTTACACCAACTTTTGGATTAAAACAGTCCTTCCCAACTTCAGCAATTTTAAGATATGTCGACTTCAACTCCGAGAACTCCCCAGCTAAGTTGCTGGGGAACAGAAGACTTTCATTAAGCCAAATAGGTGTTGTTTCATTTGTGTTTTTGCTTCGCATGTACATGTTTGCATGTTGCAAACCATGATCATGTGGTTGCAGGTGCTGCATCTGGATGTAAGTTGTGA